ACCAAACAGAGGTTTAATTGTACATTCTGCTTTTCTCTTCACTCTGGAATAATGGCAATTGCATTAATACAGTGCTGCATTGAACACGTGCCCGCACTGAGGCCAAGGGACCAATTCTGCTCTCCGTTATCCAGGGGCACTGCCTCTGGTGGGGCAGATCAGGGTTTAAACAGTGAGCAGGAGCAATGAACTTCTACTGTTCCCTGCTGTTTGAGTGTGGGCAAAATAAAAGGCCATAATATATGATGCAGTCAGCCAAGAAAGCAATATTGCTCTGCCATGTGCACGGTCTACACTGAGACGAGTCCAGGATCTCATTTCTAAATTCCCATAGGTGCCTCATTTAAACCATCAGCCATAACCTGCTTCTCATTTTCAATACCACTTGGTATTAGAGCTGCAGTGAACTGCTGGTGAGAGATTCTAATTCCTGCAAACAAGCCCCTGTAGGCTTGCAAGGAAAACAGAGAGTTCCCCTCTTGGTTGCCTGCTAGGTTCCCATCTGGCTGTTTTAACTTTGCTATTGCCTTTAAATGTGCCTGTTTCTGCACACGAGGCTTTCAGCTCTAACTCAAGAGACTCCTGGGTTCTCTTAGATTCAGATTCTGGCCAAAATATAGAGACACAGATCGGGTCTTCTTAACAAAAAGGAAGATCAGATTTCACATTACAGTATCTGAAAGATTAATTCCACTTACATGATCATTTCCCTGTGAACCACTCTTCTTTCCATCTGGATTTTTCCATCAGGGGGACAAAGAGCTGCAGTGTTAAGCACTACCTGAGATAAAAGAGCAAGGAGTGTAAAAGATGAGTGCAGAAATGCTTGCTGAAAGAAAAGAGAAGAAAAAAGAGAGCAATTTCAAATGCATCAAGAAACTTTTTTTCTCTTTTTTTTCTTTTTTTTTTTTTTAATGTGAATTACACTCTGATCTCATGCTTTGGTATTTTGAACCATTTAGTTTGTCAGGTTTTGGTTCAGGGAATTTAGGATATTTGGCTGCAGGAGCTTTCTGTATCATGTTATTGTCATCTAGTGTTTGTGTTATTGTAGTAACCGCAGGTCCAGCCAAAATCAGTACCCTGCTGTGCCTGAGTCTATCAATAATCTCATGTAAGACCTTGTTATTGATGCCAGTCCTCATCCAGGCTACTACCATAACTGCAGGCAGAGGTGTGCCAGCTAGGAAGGTACTAGCAAAAGGGATAGAGGAAAGATGACTTGGGACCCAACTAATGCCCTGCCACAGACTCCTCTTGGGACTTCAGACTGTCATTTACCCTCTCTACAGCTCAGTTTGGTCTTTAGGAGACAAGGTAACAACCATGGCAAAATGGCAAGAGGCTTTTTCCTGTTGCAGAAGTCAAAGTGAGGGCTGGGTAAGTAAGTGGCTGCTCAGTTAGTTTGTGCTCAATTTTTAGTTAAAATGTTTTTCTCAACCAGGAACAAGCCACTTCATCTTGGTTTAATATTTTAACAGATCTTATGCAATGCTAAAGTAAAATTCCAAAACAAAAGTAACTTTGAATAGAAAAATGGAAAGGGTGTTTTCTTGGGAAATAACAAAATGAACTATTTCAAATTTACAATATTGGGGTGTCTACGTTTTCTCCAGAACTTTGCTGTGTTTTCTTCGACTGGAATCTGCAAATGCAACACAAGTCTGTTAAATGCTTTAGCCAATTCAAGTCAGTTGGGGTTGTGTGGTCTTTTTTCTTTGCCAGAAAAATCTTCAGTAGAAAATGGCAATTGTTTCCACTGTAGAAAAAGAAAAAAAAAAAAAAAAAGCCTTAGAAAAGGTAGTACTCAAGTGGCTGGACGATATCAGGGAGATACAAAACTCTGCTAGGTTGTTGCAGACAAGGTCCTGGAATGACCAAGTCCATTGGGAGCTGCACCCAGCTGCACCAAGCAGTGTGTGGAGGCACCCGCCACCCTTCCTGGGTGCTGTCACCCCATAGCCACCCCCAGCCTGTGCCCTGGGCTGGCTTCCATGCCTGCTGGGGAAATCCAGGCCTCTGTGGTTTGTGCCCCACAGCTCAGCCATGGAGCCAAGCCTGTGCCCTGGCCGCTCAGGGCTCTGGGCGTCTGGGAGCTAATGCTTAATGACAAAACAGTTCTAAAGCTTGTGCTGTCTTGCATTCTCCCGGGGAAGTAAGGAGGTTAATACATCTGGATTGCCCTTAAAATCTCTATCCAGTCTCAAATGTCTCCTGTAGGGTTTTTTGTTGTTGTTGCTGTTGTTTTGGTTTTAAACCGGGGGGGAGGGAAGAGGGGAGAACCCTCAGCAAAGTCCCTGGCCTTCAATTAAAAAATTCATATTACTTTCCTCATTAGTCCAATTGTCTGGTATAGCTATTTCCAAGCTTACCCCGAAGGCCCTGCAGAGCAATTCAATTTCAAGGCCAGTGCAGGATGGAGAGGTGTGCTGAGGAGGAGCTATGGTTCATGTTGACACTAGGAGCTCACTTGTCTGGCATTAGTCACGTGAAGCAAATGATGTTGACGCACTTTTTGGAAGGAGGATTGCTGTATGAAAGGGAGCTCTGTTGCAAAGCACCACCCTGGCTGCAAAGGCTGGAGTCGCCTGCGAAGTTTCACTGGCACCGAAACGGCTGAGTTCTTGGAGAACCTGCTTAAAGTCAGGTCTTGAACAAGAGGACTCACAATGTCATTCTCTCTGCTAATCATCTCCATTACTGGAACTAGCTGACAGGCTACAACAGAAGTTTAAAGAAGTGGGAGCTAGGAGAACTGAAAGTTTAGTATCCATCTACTTACCTCCGCAACTTCAGCCTTCAAACATCTGCAGCAACTGAGGCAGCCACACTCCTTGAAAATGAGCCTGTGGTCTTATGAATCCCCTGATGTAGAAGCTGTATTATCTTTTTCTTGATTTCCTTTTACTGCTTCAGCTTAACGTTCTGTGTTGGTGAAAGTACAAACAGGTCATCATGACGATGCTGGCAGTAGCTCTTGAGCACAGTGCATGACTTTCACAAGGCAGTAGAACTTGCAGGGCAATGCACAATATCTTTTTCTGTTCTATTCTTCATGCTGATCTGTCCTGGGATTGCACAACATACTCCTTTACCAAAGCTCTTGGTGTTAAATTATCTGCCCTGAAAAATGTGTAGTTTTTTATCCCTATCTTTCTCTCTGCTCTGCTTTTTCTTTGAAAAGCAAAGTTCTTTTCCTTCATCATTAAAAGTAAAACCAGTCAGGTTTTTTTCCATCTCTCCCATCAATTTTATTGTGCTTTTCATATTTTGCTTATTAAGTAGTTACCCTAGGGAGACTTACTCTTTATTGGAACATACAAAAAGCTATAACTGCTCTTAACATTTGTGGGGAGGAAGAGGGAGAAGGGGGCAGAGGAAGCACATTTAGGCCGAGGTCACAGAAATATATGTGGTGTGTTCAGTAATACGCTTTGCATCATCTCTACTTCTTTTTCCATAAGCAACAAGATATTCTCTTTTGCTTTCTGCTTATTCCCCAAATCAGCCTTCACTATTAAAAATAATGTACCTGGATGTTTAGACAAAGTTGTTGTTGCTTTAGCAACATCCATCTGGCTGCTGCTGCTGTGGGGCAGGGACAGACTAGATGACTTCCAAAGGTCCCATCTGTACTTGCTTTCTGGAATTGCTGAGAAAATAAACCCAAACTCTAGATTTAGGCATTCAGACATTAGAGTGAAAGCTGATGCCACATGAGAATAAATACCGGCCACGCTGCTTTGGGAAGAGTTCTAGCATGGCTCCCATGTTGATAATGGCTTTAATAGCAACAAGCAACCAAACAAAGCTTATCAATGTTCCTGGGGGTGAGAACAGCAACTCAGAAAAATGAGATCCTGGCAGGAGAAATGCTCCTACATTCTCAGAGAGCAGACTGCTTGCATAAATTTGAACTCTTGCTCTTAGCTGAGCTCTGCTTCAAGGTGGACCAGCTGGCCTGAGCTTTCTGGGTCTAAACCAGCAAACAACATTGCAAAAGCAATTCCTGTATTCCACTGCATGATCTGTGAGGGAGCAAAACAATCCTAGATGGGAGTTTTAACAGGCCAACAAAGCCAGAACTTTGAGCTCTATAATTTCATAAAGTTCAGATGCTCTTTTTTCTCACATCCCAGGTAAGTATCCTACCCCTCAGATGAGAGAAATGGCTGCTCTTTGGAGGCAAATAGCTATCATTATTTATACAAAGTGGAACAGCTCCCGGAGGAGAGACTGAGATAGATAGACGCAAGTATAGCAGTAGAGCTAGAGTTCAGGGGTGTTCACCTGAAAGACAGAAAAAACTAGTTCAAATGATCTCAAATTCTATTTATATATGTACAGACATATATATAGATATGTAATATGCATGTGAAAATCCATTCATATGGATACATGTATGTATATGTATGTGCATACATGTGTTTAAATACATCCCTGTACATGAAAGAAAATTGTATGCACATACATTTTATATATGTGTATGCATGCACTATATGAATATGTCTTACATACACCTCCTAACATTTCCACTTTGGCCCTAGAAACATTGTAAGTACACGTCAGTCCAATAATTCATTCTTTCAAAAACTTCGAGTTTTAACTAACCAGAATCAGGCATGCACAAATGCTTTGGTAGCTCTCTGACATGAAGTGCTGGAGCTTTCCTGCATATACTCGTCAGCGCTATAGTAACAGAAATAATACCTGCACCTACGAGGTTCAGACAGTGCTGCATTGGGGTGGCACAGGATGTTCTTTTTCAACAGTGTTACTTGACAAGAAATTAAATCATATCATCTTATGCTGCTGCTTTCTCGAGGGATGAGTTACATGCCTGTAGAGTCCTACCACAGAGTCAGTCCTGCTCTCCGGATGCTTTTAGCAACACCTGCAGGCCCTGCTGCACACACTAGTTACAATAATGTAATGCTATTTGGAGGCTAATGAACAGCACTACTTTCTAGGGAATATTACTTCTGTATGAAAATTTCCTCTTAATTCATTTCAGAAGGGCTGTGTCTGATATAGTCCGAGTGCATGCAAGAGAGGAGCAAGATGCCTCACACCAGAGACTCTTCATCTCCGACTAGCAGTGCAGGGAGCAGAGCTTCCTATGAAACACCAGAGCTATCAGACCTCCAGCGGCTCTTTTGGTTCAGAGGAGGGTCTGATAATCACGTGGACCAAGTCTGGCCAAATATTTACCTGGGAGACGCGTAAGAACATATGGTCCTATTATTAAACTGTTATCGATTCCTGGGAGGAGGAGGAAGGGGTGTGGTACACTGGGGAGCAGCTTTCGGGTCTGCAGGAATATTTTTGCAATACAGGCTTCCAAAACTGATAACATAAGGGGTTTGGATGTCATGAAAAACATGACATACAAAATGGTGACTTACTTGTGGTGTGTCTGAGTTGGGTTTTCTATATTTTGTGAAATTGTCATGGTAAGAATTATTTGTATTCTAGATGAAAGTCCTTAAAAAAACCAATCCCAAATTGGTGTCAACTCTAAGGTGTGTTATCTGCCCTGGAAACTGTGCTCTAAGGCACCAGAGAAGAGCACTGTAGCCCTCACAGTCAAATTGGAGTAGCAGGATCGAGAGCCAGATGGAGGAGGACCCAAATCAATTATACAATAGGGATTTTGCCAGTCCAAATCCAAAACTTTATTTCAAAGATGGTAAAACTGAAAATATCAAACAGGATTTTTCATGCAAATACCTTATTCTTGTGACCACTTCTAATTATTGCAATTTCCTTCTTTTTGGATTACTGCAGATTACACAGATCATCAGCTCATTTGTCCCCACTCCTCCTCCTCATGAATACATCAGTTAAGGATCACAGTTCTGTGGAATAATTTCAGTCCCAGTTTATGCTGGGAAGCTTATGGCTGGTGAACATGATGCAGTTGCTTCATGTCTGAACCAGGAATGAGGTGCCATTGCATCCAACCTATGCACGCTATGAATGAGAGATTAGCACTAGAATTTGCTAAAAAAAGACTATTTAAAAGCAAAATACACTTAATACAGTAAGCCATGTTCCCAATAATTAATTGCTTAGACGTATTTGCTTAACTAACAGTATCCCACTGGGAAGTCTGTGCTCTTGCTGCATTTTTCATGTGCAAAGCACTATGGGTTTCTCAAATCTGCTATTCTGGAAGCGAGCTGCAGTTCCTGCATCCTTCCCTAGTGGGTGCAGGCACTAACTTTAAACCATGCTATTTTAGCAGAATATTAGGAGGGTTGCCAATGAGCCCTTCATGTCTTTCAACAGGTGGGCTGCTAGGAGCAAAACTACTCTTCAAAGCCTCAACATTACTCATATCCTTAATGCAGCAGATGGGCCATATGGCATCAATACAGGAGCCAAATATTATGAAGATCTGCAAATAGAGTACTATGGAGTAGAAGCATTTGATGATCCTGCCTTTAATTTAAGTATCTTCTTCTACGATGCTGCCAATTTCATAGGCAAAGCCTTAAACACTTCAGGAGGTAAGACAGAGGCAAAAACAAGCTTTGGGAGGAAGTTTCAACACGAGCCAAATGGCTTCTCCTTGCAGTGACAGGCAGCCAGCAAAGCTCAGATTTGGAATACGGTTTGAGAAGACACATGCAGAAGTGGCCGGGTCCCCGGGAGCTGGGGAAGGCTGGCTGCCCCACACCCAGTGTGGTGGGAGGAAGGGCCAGCTGCAGAAGCAGAGGGAGAGGGAAGGGCAGAGGTTATGGCACTTTAGGTGCTTCCCCACGGGTGGTCCTGCAGGAACTGGTAGGATCCGTGTGACCCCACACACACCGCACAGCCCTCGCCCCCTGGCATGGGCTCTGGCCAGGCCATCCTGCCCCACGTTGTGCAGGCCTGCTCCCGATGCGCTCAGCTGGCGGCAGCGGCACTTCAGCATTAGCTTAAATGCTTCACATGCTTAAGTGCTTCACAGAAATTAGAGCTTTATTCAGACTGTCTATTAAGCTAGAGAGGCAGCAGAAATTAATGAACTAAGTAAAAAAACTACGAGCCTGACTCACAGCCTGCTGAATTTTTGTCAGCAGAGTTTGGATTATGGCCTAGTTATAATTTCCATTTGTTCCAGAGTTTGCTCCGACTCTGACTGGTTGCGAGATCTGCTGCTTTCACTGGAGTGCTTTATTAAATCCCCAGTTATAGCTCACACTGGGCTGCTGAGATACAGTAAATTATAAGTCCATTTTTACAGGCAGACTATCCAACAGAGTTTATGGGACTTGTCAGTGATCGCAGTCAGGGCTGGGCCAAAATTTTCTGCCAAAACTGTTTTTTTGGGTTTGTTTTTGGTTTGTTTTTTTTGTTTTTTTTTTTTTCCATGGAAAGCTATGCTAACAAGTTTAGTCACAGAAAGCTTCTCCTTCCACAGAAAATTTGAACTATTTTAATTTGAGGCTTATGTTAGATGCATGAGGTCAGTATGAAATACCACTTTGTCTGAAATGTATGGCATGACCTTATGCTAACCCTCCCTGAAAACATGAGTATCCGCTAATTGTGACCGTTGTTTTCCCAACTTGTTTCTAGTAGTTGTTGTCCTCCCTGTGTCTTTCTCACTGTGGAAATGTGAAAGCCCAATCACTGTCCTGTGTCTCTTTTCCTGCAGGTAAGGTGTTTGTTCATTGCGCCATGGGGGTGAGCCGCTCTGCGTCTCTAGTGCTTGCCTTTTTAATGATCCATGAAAACATGACACTTGTGGATGCAGTGAAAACAGTGAGTGCTCACAGAGACATCTGCCCAAATTCAGGGTTCCTCAGCCAGCTCCGGGACTTGGACATTAAACTAAACGGAGAGAGGAAAGGAACCAGAGCATCTGCTGCCAAAGAGCTGTGAGAGAGTATTGCTGAAAGAGAGAGGACAAAATGTTATTTAAGTTTTCTTTATCTCTTTTAAATGAATTGCACTTGTAAACTAAGGATGCAAGTTTATAATACACCAAAATGCATGTTATTACTAAAAGTAGATTTTACTCGATCTTGCCATTTTGCAAAGCCCTTCTAGATTATACTCTATGATTGGCTGTATATTGTATCCTTCACTCTCCACCTTAAAACATCGCTCTCTACTGGTAAAAAAAAAAAAAAAAAAAAAAAGAAAGAAAAAAAAAAAGATATCAGGTTCCACTTCAGAAATAGCTGCGTTTCAGCAACTAGTGAAGCTCATATCACTTTATGAAGTGTTAGGCTATTTGAGGTGAAAGATGCCATATTATTTATGCTACAATAATGCTTAGAAGTTTTCTTATGAACCATCCCCCCCCCACTCCTTTGCTCCCTGTATCTAAAATAGTTTGTATTTTGAGACTTGAATCTGGCACTGGTTAGTTCTTGCTTTTACAATTGGTGGAGCCCCTGAGTTGGGGGTAAGAAGCTGTTAAAAGGCAGAGCAGCTGGGAAACAACACAAGCCACTCTTTAAGAAATCAGCCCAGGTCTCTCTGCAATGTTTTCCCTTTGACTGTTCATCAGATCTTTTTTTTTTTTTTTCTTCCATGAAAATACCTTTGTTTGAGAGAGCATTCAAATATTGTTCATCTTCCCTAGTAAAATTCATCCAGGAGGTACTATAGAAAATGCTTCTGAAGAAAAAGGTGGGTTCCCAGGTGAAGCCCCAAAGAGCTGCATGGGCAGTGGGAGTGGGTGCAGGAAAGTATTTGACAACCAAGTTCAAAGTATCCGAACTTTGTCTGATAGTTCAACATTATAAAACTTCGTATTTTCTTTCTCAAAAATAAAGTCATTAACATTGCAACATCATGTTCTATGGCATTTGCTTTTGTGAGGGGACTCAAGTGAAAACTGAAGGGATGCAGGAATGGCAAGGGAGGTGCTGACAGTCATCAGGCTTTCATCTTTGTGTCTCTGGGCCACCATAAGAGCACTCAATAGCTACTGTCATCTGATGGATCAGTGCTGCCTGGAAACTATGTGAAGCACATCTGGCTCTCAGTTCCCAGCGGACAATCATTTGCAGCACAAAGCCAGCTCGGGGATGGCAGTTGTTTGCATTCAGAGTACCAAACTCAGAAATGCAGAGGCATGACTACTGCCCACCATGTGAGCTGTCTGCTCAAGAGCAGCACAGCAACAAGGGAAAACATTCCTTGCCATTCCCACTGCTGGCTACAGGGCAAATTTCTGCACTCAAGACAGACAACTCAGCACCTTTTATAATGCTCTTTGGCGATAGCTCCATCTGTTACGCAGGCCAGGCTATAGGAGTGAGAGCACAAAGCAGAGCATTTGGCATCAAGGACCTGACCCTCACAAGAGGACATCACAGGGAGTTTTGCCTTGGACTAACCCTGGGCAGCAGGAGAGCAGTGCTGGGAGCATTTCTTCGCTTTAGTTCCCTGCATAAGGAAACCTGCTCACGAGCTCCAGGGCTGCTCTGCAAGGTCAAAAAAACCACAGGAAGTAGGAATGGTCAGCTTAAACATACACTTCAGATGAAAATCAAAATGTAATACGAACATTTTGGTCACTAATTAACTCTGACAAACTTATTTCAACTTACAGAACGAGTGGGGAAAAAAACCCCAGCAGATGTAGCTGTAGAGATGCCCCCAGCCCCAGGCACCTTCACCTTTGCTCCCCACCTGCCTTGAGCAGCAGCAGGGCTGAGGCCAACCAGCCATTTTCAGCTGTAGAGCGAAGGCACAGATGAAGAGTCCCTCGCGGGGGGTGCGGGAGTATCAGCGAATTAAACGCATTTCACGCGACAGAAACTTACCGTGTGTTTAGAATAGGGGTGGGTGCAACTGGAAAACCTGCACCGTGCTAAATGAGTGCACACCCCGCAGAACAACGCACGGGACGTCATTTCTCACCCTGTGACGTAACACACTCGGTTTCCCCCCCAAAACACCCG